TTTTGGTAACGCAGTTTTTAGTTTCACGTACGCTGTGATTTTAAAAAGGGGGATTGTCGTTGAAGGGATGACGAGGTTCCGTCTCATGTTTATTTTGCAGTGTCTGTTGTATGTCAGACTTTTAAAAAATGACTCTGGACTTATGCGTGTATGACTGGCATAAGAAATTCTATATTCATAAACCATTTATGATAAGGAGAAATTAAGAATATGCATTCAGAACGACTTAGGGTACACCTACTCTTTATTATAGCAATTTATTCGAAAAATATTATATTTAATTCCGAGCGTATTTAAATCTGTCATAGATCCTTGGCCAAAATACAGATTGAAAGTTTTCGAGATATTTTGCTGAACCTCTTTACGCTAACAAGTTTTGTTTCTATAATATTGAAATTTGATTTTTACTGCGATTCGTGTATTTGGTATGTTTCGCTTCGCTTCATAAGAAGACGGTGAAAAATTAATAAACGACGAAGAAAGTTGATACAAGAATGTCGTTCTCATATAAACTTTTTTACAAAAATAGTCGTTTACGTAGAATGACGAGTTTGAGGAAACCTGCTTCATAAAGTAATGACCTGACATACAAATTCAATTCGATTACAATATTATAAATCAACCTGTTCATCATTTCAATAGCAATGCAACGAACTCCATAGTCGGCATTATCCACCTACAATGTTTGCAGTCATTATATATGGTTGCACCTGTTTTTAAATTTTATGTCGCGCGTTTTGACGCCATTGAAGAAGTAATCCTTACTAAGGACTTTCATGTGCATAAATTTTCGAAAAACTGATGGTATAATAATCAAGTATCCGCCAAATGATTAATATAAAATTGTCTTAGGATTTATTTAACAGGTGCCTATCTCTTCTTTGAAATAAATTTATTGTCCAGATCATAAAATTAATTTCAGGCAAATTCACGCTACCATAACCTGTTTTCGTTTTACTGTTAACTATATGCATCAAAGTGTTCGTCTATTATGTAATTAGCGCGTGAACAGGTAACATGTAGTCCTAAAATTTTGCAAAGTGTATCAACGCGGAAAATACGGATTATAAACAGGAAATTTTTCGCTAATGTCGTTAGTCGTTCAAACCAAGCAATAGTAAACACACGTCGCTTATTAACTAAGAAGTATTGTTTTTTGCCGCGTAAAACCGAAAGTGTTCAAAGAACTATAGCAATATGCAAGAGAATCTGCAAAAACCGTATGTCGAAATAGTCGAGCAGCCGAACAAAGCTTTGAGATTTCGTTACGAATGCGAAGGAAGATATGCTAGCTGCATACCGGGCATTAGCTCGACTCCTGGTAACAAAACTCATCCAGAAATACGAATAATTGGTTATAAAGGTCCGGCTGTTGTGATCGTCTCATGCGTTACCAAGGATGAGCCTTATAGGCCGCATCCTCATAGATTGGTTGGTTTAAAATGTAGTAGCGGTATTTTTCGTGACGATATCAATGAGGACACCATGTCAATGACATTCAATCATTTGGGTATACAATGTGTAAGAAAGAAAGACATCGAAGAGGCATTGAGTGAACGTGAAGGAAGAAAGGTAGATCCCTTTCAGACGGGATTTTCCCATCATAGCATTGATTTGAGTGCCGTACGACTATGTTTTCAAGTGTATATACCACCGACTTACTATCCTCTTGCTCCCATTGTATCGGAGCCTATTCATGATCAAAAGTCAAAGACCGATCTTGTAATCCGTCGTCTATGCACTTGTGCAGGCAGCGTGAAGGGCAATTCTGAAATGATTTTGTTATGCGATAAGGTATCGAAAACCGACATTAAAGTACGATTTTATGAGCAAAACACCGGCTGGACAGCATACGGTTTATTCGAGCAAAAAGATGTGCACAAGCAGACGGCCATTGTGTTTAGGACACCGAAATATCACAATCTAAATATAACAAAGCCGGCTACTGTTACAATACAATTAGAGCGCATATCAGATGGAGCTTTAAGCGAATCGTATGCCTTCGATTATATACCATTAGATGTCGTTCCCGGGTATTTAAAGCAAAAACGCCAAAAAATTAATCAATCGGGTGGTCCTAAATATCATTTAATGAATTACGGCAATGCCAGCGTAACATATTTGAATCCGATCAACATGCAATGCCAACAGCAAGGTGTGAATTTGTATGCACAGCCAGAGATATCCTTCGATAATTTTGGTGATATTCATAATATAGCTTCTACGGTGCAAACGACAAACGCATTGGATAACTTCAATCAACAAGCACAATGCGGAGGAAACAACTTAGGAATGAATGCCGTCTTCTGTCCACAAATCTTTAACAATATGTGCCAATTTAATCAAACAGCGCAATACAATATGAGTTTGCAAAATGCAGGAGCTGCGAATTCGCCAATGTTGAGGAATGGGTCGCAGAACATAGCCGTCGGTAGCCACAACGATTCCAGCCAAATGAAGGTCGAAGGTTTACAACAAATTTTACAAAATCAAATACCAGTAAATGGCTTATCAAACCTCTCCATAGGGGAGAACTTGCTTTAAATAAAAGTGCCAGGAGTGTTGTAAATAAGTTGGAACAGGAATTGCTTTATGTGACACTATTCAGTTATGACGTGTTATTAATTTATTCTTTACTTGTATAATTTTATAATAAATTTGTTTGTGTTTTAAATACAAATACATTTTTAATATTCAAGGAAAGAGGTTTACTTTAAATAACATACATATACGCTTAGAAATGTACATATTTTGGTTAATCTCTGCAACTTAGTGGGTTCGAATTAAAAATTTTCGGAGCTATAGTTACAATACGCAATATATTTACCGTTAGTTACAGTTCGATTTAAAGTTATAGGTGGGGTTATTTAGCGTTAGAGCTACACTTGACTGGTTAACTTGCAATTAGAAGTAAAATTAGAGCTATGGCTACACTTATAGTTACAGTTGCATCCTTGTTTTAAAGTTGAAGTTCTTTCTGAAATTCTTTCTGAATTTGCTCGTAGCTGTAATAGTAAATACTTATAATATATTTATTATATTATATTACGGTGCTGTGCGAGTGTAGCTGTATTTCACTCGCCGTTCGTTTCAGCAAAACGTGTGCGTTCAGCTGCAGCCATCTATTTCATCTTAACAATACAAGCTGTTCAGGCTGTACAAGTTGCTCCAATTTCACGCATCTGTCTATATTCGTGTGCGTATGACCTCAATACGCACGCGAATCATCTTGTAACGCGATTTCGATGGGTTTGCAATGTTTGATTTTTTCTTTTTTTTCGAATCATCTATAGCGCATAGTAGAATGAAAATATTTGCAAAACCTTTGCTTGCAGATGTGTTTTGATAATTTTTAATAAGCGACTCACGATAATAGTTTGATTAAAGCGTTAAATCTTTACGAACAGAATCCTGTCTGCAATAACAAAAAAAAATTTGGAAGGATTTTCGTACTATTTTATTAAAACCGAATCGACATTAATTAAGATTTAAGATATTTCACTTTTTTTAAACACAAACAAGTACAAGTAACATGAAAATGATAAAAAGTCACTAGAAATCGTTTATTATTCGATGCAAGCCGCTAAGGTTCTTTGTAAAACATTTCTGTTTAATGCAAAATAAGAATTTGAAAATTCGGCTTAAGTTATTTGCACAAAAAGTGTAATTTCACGCTTGTAATATAATTTCGGAATAATCCCTTCTATGGAATACTAGTGAGGAAGGAATAATTTTTTAACTTCTTTTCGATATTGTGCTCCTTTTCACTGACAGCATAACACCCGCTAAAGATATACTTTCGTGGAATGTTAAGCGAAGGAAGTTAAGTAAATCGTTGAAGATCATAGACATCATCCCTAGGTAACTTGAATGTTATGAAAAACCCAACGATATTTCTTACGAATTTAACAATCTTAATAAGTTGATATTAATTTAAATTGTATTTGATTAGTTTTCGTAAAAAACCGCTTTTTAGTAAACCCTTGGGATTCCATCACTGCTCTGTTACTTGGGTGAAAGTATGTTAGTAAACAAGTCGACAAACCGATAAAAGAACACGATAGACTTAGCGGTATCTTTGAGCTTTCAATAAATTTTTTTAACTCCTTTTTTTAAACGGTTGTTTCGTTATTGTGTTGAAGTTAGCGGCGATTTTTATGCCAAAGAAAAAATTCGATTTTTAGAAGCCCATGAAAATTGAACAAGAAAGATAAGGCTAACCGTATATAATCTTGAAGCACAATGCTAAAAATTTGAGAAATACATTCACAAAATCGTGAAACAATTTACAAAAAAACAAGTAAGACAGTTGTATTCGACGGTGGCCGAACCTTGCATCCCCACCACCATGTTTTTCGCGCTTCTACTCTCCTAGTTTTTCATTTGATACTCACATCGCCGGCATTATTAAGAAAACATTAATCGCTGTGTCTGCCACATTCATTTTAGAATTAACCCATTTTAAGGCAGATAATATATATTCATTTGAGGAGTGTACAAAATAGTTTTAAACATTCTATCTTGTTTGCCTTATGATAACTAAACATAAAAACCTCAAAAAAATGAAAAAAATAAAATTGATTTACTCGTAACTCTGTGTGATTACGGCCGATTGATTCCACTTCTGGAGGTAAAGCGTAGGGTACTTTGTAAAGTAAAAACGGAAAATTTTACCCTTCCAATTTTACAAATTTCCGAGCAACAATCAAATATCCAAAAATTGTTCTTGAAAAAACTGCGTTGCGTTCAGTTTACGCTCCACTGCGTGCTTCTGCACCGACCAATTTGGCCCATGTTTAGTACCATGTTTAATAGACAGACATGGCTTAATCAATACCCCCATCTTATCTATAAAGAAAAAAGAAAAGTCGAAAATTAGAACCAAAACTTGCTTAACTTGCTATTTGTGGACTTGAATTCAGTTTATGGATTTGGTAATCGAGCAGACTTGAGATCGCATTTTAATCTTGTTTCGATGTTTTAATGAGAATTCAATTGTTTTCGTGTGCCCTTGAAGAATTTTCAAGATGAATGCATTTTCTTTTCCCTAACCTAATATCTAAAAGTATATAAGTACTTTAATGTATGTAATACTGAACGTATCTACTTCATTTTAATATAATTAATCTTGGTAAGCATACCTATATTTGAGGCATTTTTGGTAGCCTAATCTATATTCGCAGAAGCAGTTACATTCTGTTACTAGCGTTACTAGCTTTTATTTGAATTGACCTAATTTTAAGTCTATATGTTATACAGACGAAACGCAGAAGATAATAGATGTCAGTCTAGAGAAAACTTGCCGTTATTTGATTGATTTTAGAATTACTTTTAGTCCTATAAACCAGGTACTACTCGAAATTGGGGAAACCCCAAAATTGGAGAAAGTCAAAGACGAAATTCTGAGAATAAAAATTATTTATTTTCATTTTCTAGTTTCTACCAATCGCTTGAATTTGATTTTTATTCACCAGAGTACATAAAGGCAATTTAATCGATAAAATTTTGTAATATTTGTTTAAATCTCTTATATACTATCGCATTTATTTCGGTATTGTCCGCAAGCAAGTAGGTTTGGGATCTTTTACATGATATATATATTTAATGATTGCGGCTTTTAATCTACTTTGATCACTGCACAGTTACACGTTGGCATGCGTTGAAATCGAGAAAAATCTGAAATCATTTTGATTATACGATATTTCCAACTATTCTGCGTTTAATTACCTATTTAATGAACATCGATCTTCTACTTACTTTATTAAAGCACTTACTCTTGACAGTATGCAAGCCGTAAAATTTTACGCTTTTTTCTCTGGGCTAGTTTTTATGAGTACGTGAAGTGCTCAGAATAAAGGACAAATTTGTAGAAATTGTGTTATTTTTATCCAAATATCTTCTCAATCTTCTACTATTCTTCTACTATATCCAAAAATAAATAAACCATTGTAGCGTCCATTAAGTGCTTACTTTTACTTCCTAAGACCTTTCATATTGCTCACTGAATAGTTTTTGCTTTTATATATATATATATGTATATATGTAAGCGTAGGTATAACGCTATAAAAGAATCGACAGGATAAAAATAAACTTCCTTTTCAGTTATAAAACTGTGTGCATTAAAGTCAATGTAAATGGGACTGTGAATGGCGTACTCAACGCAAAGCTTTTGACTCTCGTTATTGGATTAAAACGTTTTTTGTGATTCTTTGTTTTCTTTTTTAAAATTAAACTCAAACACAGCAGGTGAAAAGTTACTTTTCCACTTAAGTTGGTCGTATACTGCAGCACAGAATTATTGCAGCATAGTGTTACTTAGTTTTTCGTACATCGTTACGGATTTAGATAAAAAAAAAAAAAATCGAACGTTAAAGAGAATCAGGGACACCCGTCCAGGCTAATATAAATACGTCGGCTTAATTGTCAGAAGGATATAACAAACGTTTCCGTGAAAGCTCATCAGTTTCACAAACGATGTTGATTTACTCTTTTTTATAAGCGCACTTCAATTTCAAACCTTCAATAAAGTGTAAATAGTGTTTGTTAATAGTTTAGGATCATTGCTACTTGCGGTGAATTCCATCGTGCGACCTCAGTCAAGTGCTTTCATAGATGAAATGACAAATTTATTACATACATTCAAACTCAATTCCATTATTGTTATCGCCAAAAGAAACGTTCAAACAATCTTCATACATTCTCATGTCCTGGGCTTAAACAAAATATCGCTACACCTATTCATACATTTCTCTCTAACACAATCTGATATGAGAGCATGTATTTCGTAATCACTTCTGTAGACAAACAACGTTATCGGTTATTTTCATTTGCATGCATTCGACGCCCTCCATGCTACTCCATGCTTTGAAATACTTCCGAAATTCCATGTACGGCGTCACGCTTGTGCAGCCATCTTTTCAAATATACATTAATTTTCTCCTTTATGGCACAAAGCTGCTGTTGAGGAGAAGAGCAGCATTTCATAGGAATAATAGAGCGAAGAACACGTAAACATCCATTTCAAATTTGATAGAAATATTTGAAGTTTCTGCGCGCAGGTTGGTATCCAAAATGGGCAAAATTGGTCAGAGTAAAAGCGCGCCATGGAGCGTGAATTGAACGCGACTCAGTTTTTTTTTTAAGAAAAATGTTTGGATTTTTACTCGCTACTCGCAAAGTATTAAAGTTACAATACTGAAATTTTCCACACTTACTTAACGAAGCACTCTACTCTTTACATGTACAAATGAAAAACATCCATTGTAGTATTTTTGCTCGTTTTGGTTTACATACAGTACTTTATAATTGATACAGTGCAGGCAATAAGCAAATATCTAGAATCTTGAAAGCTTTTATTTACACAATTTAAACTGCGTGCTTTGAACTGGTGTGACGTTCGGCCAAAAGTCTTGAATTCTTCTGCAATAAGACGCCTAACGTGCAGTCCAGGAAGTGACTGCAGCCATCGTTCGCAATGGACCAATCTTGCATTACGTGAATAGCTTCCTAATACGTAATTTAGGTCCATATTTATAATACGCTGC